TGGACTGGTCCAGGAGGGCTGACAAAGGGCAAGATGGATGGATGGCATCCTTGAAGTGACTGGATTGACCTTGAAGAAGCTGGGGGTGGTGATGGCCGACAGGGAGCTCTGGCCTGGGATGGTCCAGGAGGTCACCAAGAGTAAACAATAACAATATATTATAATGTATTATAATAATATAATATTATATTATATTATATTATAATATTGGTTTAATTTATTACAATTGTATTATATGTGATATATTACCATAACAATACCTCTCTCCAGGCTGTGGATTGATTAACTCACAGCCTGGGTTAATAATTATTAATTATTATTAATTAGCAACCTATTTGTAAACATAGCCAGCGAGATGTAAACATTGTCCAACAGCTCCACCTCGTGGCCAGTTAGGAACATAGCAGTTCAAATTGCAAAACATTCCCAAGTACAGTAAATATAGTTTTCAAGAACCCTTGAAATCAATTATTAGCCCATTGACAGAACTATATGTTCAAATAGTTAATTATTGGTTTATTTTCCTTCTAGATTTCGGGGGCAGCTCACGGCCATTTCTTTTAATCCGCCGACCTGTGGAACTCCCTGCTGCATGATATGGCTGCTTGCTTTGATCGCTATAGGAAGAAATCTATAGAAAGTCCACAAAAGAGTCACAATGATGGTAAATAGTGTTTATTTGCATGCTGTATTCTTCCGTTTTTCCTTCCACTTCGCTTCTTTTTGGGGACGGCGTGTTCTCAGAAGGAATCCAGTTCAGGAATGCAACCCGGCAACTTGGTCAAAGTGGAGTTTGCTCCCAGATCTGATTGGAAGGGAATTGTAGCACCTAGAGAGCACCTACACTGTCAAGTAAAAGCAAATATTATTAATAATAATTATTATTAATAATTATTAATCATTATAAATAAGAATTTATTGATTTATTATTATTATATTCAATTATTATAATTTACTTATTATAATCAATAACTAAAGGCCTTCCTTTCCAAAAATAATTATTAATAATTTATTGATTTATTATTATTATATTCAATTATTATAATTAAAGGCCTTCCTTTCCAAAAACAATTATTAATAATTATTAATAATAATTTATTGATTTATTATTACAATTATATTCAATTGTTATAATTTATTTATTATAATCAATAACTAAAGGCCTTCCTTTCCAAATAAATAATTATTTTTTTATAATCAATAACTAAAGGCCTTCCTTTCCAAAAATTATTATTATTATTATTATTATATAATTATTTATTGAATTATTATTATATTCAATTATTATAATTTACTTATTATAATCAATTACTAAAGGCCTTCCTTTCCAAAAATTATTATTAATAATTATTAATAATAATTTATTGATTTATTATTATTATTATATTCAATCATTATAATTTATTTATTATAATCAATGACTAAAGGCATTCCTTTCCAAAAAATAATTATTTATAATAATTAATAATATTTTATTCATTTATTATTATTATTATATTCAATTATTATAATTTATTTATTATAATCAATAACTAAAGGCCTTCCTTTCCAAAAATAATTATTAATAATTACTAATAATAATTTATTGATTTATTATTATTATTATATTCAATTATTATAATTTGTTTATTATAATCAATAACTAAAGACCTTCCTTTCCAAAAATAATTTTTAATAATTATTAATAATAAATTATTGATTTATTATTATTATTATTATTATTATATTCAATTATTATAATTTATTTATTATAGTCAATAACTAAAGGACTTCCTTTCCAAAAATAATTATTAATAATTATTAATCATAATTTACTGATTTATTATTATTATATTCAATTATTATAATTTATTTTAGTCAATAACTAAAGGCCTTCCTTTCAAAAATAATTATTAATTATTATTAATTCATTATTATTATATTCAATTATTTTAATTTATTTATTATAATCAATAACTGAAGGACTTCCTTTCCAAAAATAATTAATAATAATTATTAATAATAATTTTATTATTATTATATTCAATTATTATAATTTATTTATTATAATCAATAACTAAAGGACTTCCTTTCCAAAAATAATAATTAATAATTATTATTAATAATTTATTGATTTATTATTATATTCAATTATTATAATTTATTTATTATAATCAATAACTAAAGGAATTTCTTTCCAAAGATAAAAGTTTTTTGCACTTCTATGCTTTCCAATCATGGCTGCATAGCTCAGATAGATGCATATTGATATATAGATATAGATTTATTGATCAGTTAATCAATACCAAAGCATCTTTCTTTCCAAAGATAAAGTCCTTCTCACCTAGACAAGATAGAACTCGAGTTTGAATGTTGCAATTGACAATCTTGATTAGCATTGAATAGCCTTGCAGCTTCAAAACCTGGCTGCCTCCTGGCTGGGGAGATCCTTTGTTGGGAGGGATTAGCTGGCCTCGATTGTTTCCTGTCTAGAATTCCCCAGTTTTCTGAGTGATGTTCTTTATTTACTCTCCTGTTTATTTACTGTCCTGTTTATTTACAATCCATTCAGTGGATACAGGGGTTATAGTATTATCTATTTAGAAATAATCATTCAGTGGATACAGGGTCATGGAGTATTGTCCAAATGGAACATCCCCATTCAGTGGATACAGGGGTCATTTAGTATTGCCTATTTAGAAGCCACAATTCAGTGGATACAGGGGTTGTATAGTATTGTCCTAATGGAATATCCCCATTCAGTGGATACAGGGGTCATGGAGTATTATCTATTTAGAAATAATCATTCAGCGGATACGGGAGTCATGGAGTATTGTCCAAATGGAACATCCCCATTCAGTGGATACGGGGGTCATGGAGTATTGTCCTAATGGAACATCCCCATTCAGTGGATACGGGGGTCATGGAGTATTGTCCAAATGGAACATCCCCATTCAGTGGATACAGGGTCATGGAGTATTGTCCAAATGGAACATCCCAATTCAGTGGATACGGGGGTCATGGAGTATTGTCCAAATGGAACATCCCCATTCAGTGGATACAGGGTCATGGAGTATTGTCCAAATGGAACATCCCCATTCAGTGGATATAGGGTCATGGAGTATTGTCCAAATGGAACATCCCCATTCAGTGGATACGGGGGTCATGGAGTATTGTCCTAATGGAACATCCCAATTCAGTGGATACGGGGGTCATGGAGTATTGTCCTAATGGAACATCCCCATTCAGTGGATATGGGGGTCATGGAGTATTGTCCAAATGGAACATCCCCATTCAGTGGATACGGGGGTCATGGAGTATTGTCCTAATGGAACATCCCAATTCAGTGGATACAGGGTCATGGAGTATTGACCAAATGGAACATCCCCATTCAGTGGATACGGGGGTCATGGAGTATTGTCCTAATGGAACATCCCCATTCAGTGGATACGGGGGTCATGGAGTATTGTCCAAATGGAACATCCCCATTCAGTGGATACGGGGGTCATGGAGTATTGTCCTAATGGAACATCCCAATTCAGTGGATACGGGGGTCAT